GACCAAACTAACCGATGATTATGGTTTGGAGAGTTCATACAATGTTGTTGTGAATGCCGAAGGGATCACTGCAGAAAACGACTACAAAGTAATGTAATGTAATGTATGCCATTGTTTCTTTGATTTGAGTAGTCTTAGATGTTTGGAAAGATTAGTTAGAACACAATTGGGAGAGTTGAAATCACATTCCATTCAGGTCGGATTTGTTCATATCTGACTGGATTTTTTTTTTCTGAAAACCGTAGGTATCCAAGTCACGGATTGCATCGTTGATAGCAGATGTCTTTTCCAACACAGAAGTAGCAGAAAATAAGGTGAAAAAAGTTTTTCAAACTTAGTTATTAAGTCTTTATGTGAAAAGACTGAGTTATTTTTGGTGTTAGGTTGTGGAAGTGGCTACAAGTCCTAATGCAGCTGCAAAGCCAGTGAGTGAACTTTTCAGGTAATGTTGTGAATATAATAAGTCAAGTATTATATGATTTAAAGTACGTTTGTGTATTTACATATTTGACCCTTTTACTTTTAGTGCGATTCCGGAGGATGGTAGACGAAAAGCTTATGCAGAAGCAAAAGCAAAAGCAGAGGAAGTTGAAGAAAAAGAGGTGAAAAAATTGGAAGCAGAAGAGGAGGCTGCAACTGCAACTGCAACACCAAGTTTAGCAGAAGATGTTCAAGAGAAGGCAACAACAGCAGCCCGAAAATCATTTACAGAACTCATGGACCGATTCAAATCCGTGACCCAGGAACCCGAAAAAGAAGAAGAAACCTCGGAGGACCAAAATGGTGCACCAGGGTTAGCCATGTCATGGGACAAACTGAGCTCAGGGTTCGCATCAGCGGTTAAGAAGAACTCCATTCAGCTACCTAATCCAAAAGTGCAGATTGCAACAGTTAGAGGACAAGCCAAGGCTCGGGCTTTGGCTCCAAAACAAGCCGTGGTTAAGAAAGCTGCGGCTAGAAAGGAGCCACGGGTGCAGCCTAAAGAGCCGAAAGCTGAAAAGAGGAAGATCTTTGGGGGCGTGTTTCAGCAGGAGACCATTTATGTTGATGACTGAGACCCTTTCTTTATGTTTGTTTATATGTGAATTGTAGTTGAATACTTCGTGGGTGATTGAATGCTGCTGGTTTAATTAGCTAGCTCGACCATCAACTTATTCACTTGTATCATTTTGTTTTGTTTTTCTTCATCTCATATGTTTTCTTTTTTTATATTTATCGGCGTAAAATACCAATACATTCAATCATTCAGCTCTCAAGATTAATTGTTAAGGATCTATATTACAAGTTCATAATTAAATAAATGATTAATGATATAAAATGATAACAACCAACAATATTCAGTTTGTCTTTTTAGTCATATATTTTTTTAATCGTATCTAATTTGCCAATACCCTTTTTGCTCATTGGATGTTGACATCGGACGTTAGATCAGTGCTAGTGCTAGTGCTAGGTAAACGAATTATGTCATATTGGATGACATAATAGACACAATATAAGATGCAGTCTAATTTTACCCGGTTCAAATTCATCCTAATTTTGTAAAAAAACCTAAAAATTTATTTATTGATCTTTTGGGTAATTTAAAAGATGAGCAGCCAAAATGCAAATTGAGTACAAACTTACGATATGTACAGAAAAAGACAAATATAACAATTGTGCTAAAGCTTTTTCCAAAAAAAAAAGCCAAAATTTATTTTTTTTCCCAATTTCGTAGTAAAGATGTTATAGTTATTTTTAAACAGAAGAATAATCACATAACCTTGTGGATAACGTGACTTGGTATCAAATGTTCACACCATTCTGCGGTGCCTACTTTAAGCATGACTTGAATGTCTGCATACCACATTTTTATCTACCGCTAAAGCATCATGATTTATTTAATCTTGTACCTTTTTGCTATAATATTATTTTAAAGAATTATTTAAAACGTAATGGAATTAATTACAAGAGATTAAAAAATGAATTGTGAGTAAACAATGTAATCATATTCATTTACATTGATTTAAGGTAACATTAAGAAAACAAACAAACACACAAGATGATCATAACCGCTCACTTTGTATTGTTTTTTAAATTAAAAATCATGATTTATAAATAACTAAAAAGTGTATAGAGTTTGCAAAACGTTAGAATACAAAAAACTGAAAAAGTATAAAACCCAAGAAAGCACACACGTTAAGACATTATCTACAATGATAGATACCCAAAATTTATGCCGATTTATGGCTTTTCATGCCATGAAGTCACGAGCACAAATAATTAACCATGGCATGGAAAATGTTTCCATATAAATATGTTAAAGAGAAAGAAGCATTTGCACATTCACATGATTAATCAACACCTTAGAGTGTTAATAAAAGCATTTCAAGAAACTTATAAACACAAATTACACCAAGATCCAATTCACTTGCTCATTATTTTTCATTTAAAATGTCGACACAAATCCATACGTTATCAAGAACAAGAAGAGTATGCAAATCCGTTGTCATAATTTCATTATCCCTCTCCATCATCTTCATCTTGATCTTCTCCATTAATCCTTGTTACCACACAACCCAAATCTTGGTACCCAATTTCAACCTAAATTATTATAAAAATTCCCAAACTACCCCTACCAACATCTCCGATATCGTATTTGGTATCGGAGGCACAATAAAAACATGGCAAACAAGGAAGCACTATGTCAAATCATGGTGGCAGCCAAATGTAACTCGTGGCTTCCTCTTCTTAGATGAAGCCCCTATCCAACACCTCCCCTGGCCTCCCACTTCTCCGCCTGTACGTATCTCCAATAATCACAAAGGCATGTCATACACTATCAGAATGGCACGAGTGATCCAGGAGACATTTAAGGCGGAGAACAAAAATGTAAGATGGTATGTGATGGCAGATGACGATACCATTTTCTTTTTGGAGAACTTGTTGAACGTGTTAAAGAAATATGATTGTGAGGGTTACTATTATATCGGTATGAATTCAGAAAGTATCATATCTAATAGTTTATTTTCGTTCAATATGGGTTTTGGTGGTGCGGGATTCGCTTTGAGTTACCCTCTAGCTGAGGCTTTGGCTAAGAACTTAGATGTTTGTTTAAATAAGTACGGAAAACTTCATGGGAGCGATCATATTTTGCAATCTTGTGTGTCTGATTTTGGGGTTTCACTTACTCAAGAAAAAGGTTTTCATCAGGTAAATTTATTCATAAATGAATTTCATGTATCGAGTTTGGACCCACTACTATTTACAAAGAAAAAAAGAAGACACGAACTAAGGTGATATTTAGCACGACACAACTGTCTTATAAACTAATTTATTTTCCAAGGTTTTTAAGTTAATTATAATATTTAACAAACCAAAAAGTATCTTTTAAATTAGCTTTTCAAAAAGCTACTGATGTTTCAACGAGTTGTTTCTGGAGACTTTTTAGAATCGTTTAAATATATATTTATTGATTATAAAAATTATATTTTTCTACGTGTCATTTTATGTTCTCTATCCGCTTTTACCAACCAACATTTATTATCAACTATAATGTGAGTTTGTCAAAGATAGCCTAAAACCTTGATTCTTTTTTATTTACTCTTACTGAATGCTGCCAAAAATGATTTGAGAAAAAGACATTTTATACTTGGAGAAATGGAAAGAAAATAAAAAAGAAGTCAAATCTGTAAAAAGTAAAAGGGTTAATGGAAAACTTATTTCTCTAATTTTATTAAATTGTTTTTTTTGTGCAGATTGATATGCATGGGAACATATCAGGCCTTCTTTCAGCACACCCACAAACTCCATTGGTGTCCCTCCACCACCTTGATGCCGTAGAGCCGCTCTTTCCCGCCATGGACCGCCAACAATCCCTAAACCATCTGATGACATCAGCAAAAATCGACCAGTCAAGGCTACTCCAACAAAGCATTTGCTACCACCACCAAAAAAATTGGAGCTTCTCTTTGTCGTGGGGATACTCTGTGCATATTTACGAGAAAACCCTCCCATCAAGTTTTTTACAGGTACCACTTCAGACGTTTGGGGAGTGGCGAAAAGGAGCTAAGCCTGCTTTCATGATGAACACTAGAGGTCTTAGCAGTGACCCGTGTGAAATCCCTCATGTTTTTTACTTTCATTCCGTGGAGGAATCCGGTGGAGGATGGCGGAGGGAGGTGGTGACAACCTATGTTCGGAGACTGCCTCGGCGGTTGCCGCCTTGCTTGGTGAATGGGAATCACTCTGCGGATTATTTGGATATGATTCACGTGATCTCGCCAGTGAAGAGACATGTTACAGTGAGTTACTGAGTTTGGTTTTTTGGATTTATTACAAAAGTAATAATTGGTTAAAAAAAATAATCTATATAGTTTTTCATTTTCTTTTTCATTAATTGATTTTATGTTTGTTTAATTACAGGAAGGAAGCAGAAGAGAATGCTGTGACATAATACAAGTGGAAAAAGGGAATTCTACAACGATCAAGCTTAGACCTTGCATGAAATATGAACTCACTGGTTGAATTTATTTTATATATATTTTATATTTTGTTAAAATTCAGCCAAAATTCATCTTCATGTTTATATATTTTTAGTTATCTACTTCGATTAAAGGCAATATTAATAACCAGAATTTTATTTCTGTCAATTGTCATGAACCAGTTTAGTATTTGATTCAAATCCTTCCAAAACAATCGTCTTTACTAGCTTTTCATGTCATGAACACATAAATAACTAACCACGGGCATGGAAAATGTTGCCATAAAAACATGTTAAAAGAAAAAAGCATTGCCATTTTTCATGAAAAATCAACACCTTAAAGTGTTAATAAAAAATTCTCAACAGCCTTATACACACAATTTACTTCAAGATCCAATCCACTTTGAAATAATTTGAAATGTTGACACAAATCCATAAGTTATCAAGAACAAGAAGAGTATGCAAATCCATGGTCATAATCTCACTATTCCTCTCCATAATCTTGATCTTGATTTTCTCCATCAATCCTTGTTCCCAAACGATGCAAATCTTGATACCCAATTTCAATCTCAATTATTTCAAGAATACCCAAACTACCCCTACCAACATCTCCCATGTCGTATTCGGTATTACAGGTACTGTAAAAACTTGGCACACAAAGAAACACTATATCGAATCATGGTGGCGCCCAAATGTAACCCGTGGCTTCCTCTTCCTAGATGAAGCCCCTATCGAACACCTCCCCTGGCCTCCCACTTCTCCGCCTGTACGTGTGTCCAGTGATCAAAAAGGCGTGCCATACACTATCAGAATGGCACGAGTGATCCAGGAGACATTTAAGGTGGAGAACAAAAATATAAGATGGTATGTGATGGGAGATGACGACACCATTTTCTTTTTGGAGAATTTGTTGAACGTGTTAAAGAAATATGATCACGAGGGTTACTATTATATAGGCACAAATTCGGAAAGTATCTTATCTAATACTTGGTTTTCGTTTGATATGGGTTTTGGTGGGGCCGGATTTGCTTTGAGTTACCCTCTCGCCGAGGCTTTGGCTAAGAATTTAGATGTTTGTTTAAACAAATATCAATATCTTCATACTAGTGACCATATTTTGCGATCTTGTATAGCTGATTTCGGGGTTTCACTTACTCAAGAAAAGGGTTTTCATCAGGTAAACTTCCTTATAAATTTTAATAAAATCTTCACACATTGATGTTAAAAAATATTTGCTAACATGACAGCATGTTTGAGAAAATTAAAAGAACAAATAAAGGATTGTTGTATTTGCATATTGATCTACGTGGGAACATTTCAGGTCTTCTTTCAGCACACCCACAAACTCCTTTGGTGTCCCTCCACCACCTTGATGCCGTAGAGCCGCTCTTTCCCGCCACAGACCGCCAACAATCACTAAACCATTTGATGACATCAGCAAAAACCGACCAGTCAAGGCTACTCCAACAAAGCATTTGCTACCACCACCCGAAAAATTGGACCTTTTCTTTGTCGTGGGGATACTCGGTGCATATTTATGAAAAAACTCTCCCGTCATGTTTTTTGCAGTGTAGACAAATCGACTACAATAAATAATCGATAAATTCAAGATCGAAGTATAAAACCCAAATATCACGATAGCGATTCAACGGAATATAAAACTATTTGAATAA